CTCTCTCTCTCTCTCTCTCTCACACACACACACACACACACACACACACACACACACACACACACTCTCTCTCTCTATCATTTCTGGTCCTCTAGAGAATCCAGAGAGGAGATAAAAAGTAACACAAAAACACAGGAGATAAATAAGGAACACAAAAAAGCAAAGACTTGGTGTAGACACTAGAAGGTATCTCGTGTTTCAATGAAGCATAATTTTTAAATCAGTTAAGTGGACTATCGGTGTGTGTCTGCTTCTACTTCTTCAATCCTACAACTGTTTAATGGACAATACATAAGCCACCTACACCCATTCCAGAGCCAACAAAAATGTATTGACTGACTTCATGTACAGCATCATATCGCATGTATTCACAGACATGACGATTTTTAATATGTATAAATGCTAAAGTACATATCTATATACCCATCAATAGTGGAGGAAATCAAATCCCCAAGAAGTTTTAAAAAAAATCACATAGCACAACCCATCATCCACAGCTTCAGAAGAAACTTGGGAAACACTACCATTGTTTTGTTTCATAAGTTTAAGCCAAGGCTATCAGTTGGAGTAAACTTGCTATCTGTTCTCTGGTAGTTTATATACTGTTTTGTTCCCTAAGGCAATACATGATAAGTGTGTCAGTGTGGATATAAATAACTGTACAATTAGATACTTGGGGAAGGGGGAATAATTTTGGTTTAAATAATCAAGGCCTGTTGTAGGAAAATACCTATAAATAATACATTTCCTGGCTTAAGCTCTTTGACAAAAATTCCAATTCTGTCACGTGTTAAAACTAAAACTGTCAAATTGAGCAGGCTCTGCTTAATTTCATTTCTGTCTCAAGTTGAAACAAGTGAAGAGTAACCCACAAGAGAGCTTGAGCATACTCTGTCACACACAAGTCAAGGCATCCTCAGTGCAGATGAGGCCATTAAGTATCAGGCATATCTGAGAATACTCTATTCCCCAGAGCACGGTAGTCTACTTTCATTTTACTTTTAAAATGAAAATCAACATTAACTAAGCCCTTCCCATTTAAGGTATGAGTTCTATTGTGTTAGAAGTCACAGCAGCGGCTCTTGTCTATTTCACGAGATCTGTTACTAGAACTCTTACCTTAATGACTCCCAGTGGTGCTGAGCCACTATCCAAAGTTCTTGAGCCACCTAGTGCTCTAGAAATGCCTCTTCACTGTATGGTGCCCTATGAACACCTGACAACCCAGGAGAGAACAGTCATTTTATATTTGCTTTCCTGGGAATGGAATCTAGGGTAGCATGCATGCTAATCAAACATTCTACCAAAGAACCCAACCCCCAGTATGACATAGTGGTATTGAAACTTATATTAACAAAATAGAAAGTGGTACCACCCAGTCCTCTGTCATTTTAGAGATGCCCTGAGGGGAAATTCTAGTGGTTTCTTTCCTATGTCAGCACATGAAGTTCCTTGGCATCCTCTTACATGGATCTTATTTGGTTATTCAAATTATCTCACTATGTCAGTTAACTGTCCAGGGCATAGCAGTGTGTTGTACTCTTAAGATGGGAAGCTCTGATTTAAAGGTTGCTCAGCAAAAGAAGCAAATAACCAAATAACTGAACAGTAAACCATATTTTACAGGCTGCATATCATTCACATTATGAGATTTCTCTTTACAGGGAAGTTGTTATCTGTCACACAAAGACACACTTCAAGTTCATCTGTTTCTTCTATACATGCGTTTCCTTCAGAGTACATAGCACAGGACTTCAGAAGGTGTTTGATAAATATTTGCTGAATGCATGTTATGGAAATTAATAATGTAAAATGTTTTTAAAAGATAATTGATGTCAAATGGTATGCAGAGAAAACTCACCAAAGATCACAATGATAACAGAACTTAGTACAGATTTTGGTACAGTGTCCAAGTCAGGAACTTTCGTTTAATAAACAACTTTTAAAGTCTGTGTTTTATTTATGTTCACCGCCTTTGGACTAAAACTACATTGATAGCAGAAGAATCCCAACCAAACACCAACTTGAAAAAGGGTAATAGAAACAATAACCAAATGCTAGCCACAGAAAACAATCTCAAGAACAAAACTGCTATTAACGTTTCAAAAGAACTATAGAATGGGACCTTGCCCCTCCAAAGAACAAACTTAAAAATTATCGGAATATATATATATATATATATATATATATATATATATCCATTTGAAATTAAATGACATAGACAGGGTTTGAAAACCCCAATGATCTCAGGAAAGATAATAAAAGTTAGGATACCTAAGGAGAACAAATTTGTAGCATTTTAATTTGCTTAACCAGTATCAGGGTCCTGAATTGTTATTGGCAATTTCCTTCCTTTTACATATTATATCAAGTATAGAAAATGATCAAATTTATGCGAAGCATTAGGAAAAGGGAGGTCCAGAAACCATCTTCAAGGTATGCTGTATCCAAGTCCACCTTGTTGCCCAAGATGTCCAGAAATATAAATGAGTAGGCACGTGTGCAGCCCACTCATACGCAGTGCTCGGCACCCCATCTACTGGCCAGCTTTTTCTTAAAGAATGTGCCCTGAGATAACCAGATACTCCACAAAAAGAGCTCAGTTCACGAACCATTAGTAAGTTTGTAGCTAACTATACTTTACAGGGTGCATACCACACTTCTTTTAGGAATTCACAACTTATGTACATATCAAAGTTATCAGAAAATCTATCCCTCCCCCTGCTCAGGATTTTTTAGTCTTTTTTTTTTTTTTTTTTTTTTAACTTCAAAACTCAGGAAAACTACTATCATCTCATAGTTCTAAGGATGCTGCTAAATGACTGTACCCTTCACACCAGAACATACATAGCACCAGTGACTTGAAAGGGTAAATGTAAAAATATAGCATCCTAACTGTCTTTCATTGAAGGATAATTCGGAAACTGAGTGAATTTAATCTTCAAGATGGAATCCACCTGGAACTCTGATAATGCCAAAGTATCCCATTCCATAATCAGTATTGTTACCCCTAAATGAGCTTGTGAGGAGCCAGGGATGCATGGATCCCACAGATGACACTTCTAGTTATCTGCAGCAACTCATGTCACAGGCAAGGAGCTCTCTAATTGTGAAATCCAAAATCTTTATGAAGACCCTCAGCCTCTGTGGCCCAGGAGACATTTATGTCTTCCTGATTATATAGTCCCTTGGCTGTTAATGTAATTAGTATGTAATAACAATGTACACATCCACTCACAGGAAAAATGGTAGACATGCCAGTTGATTTGGCTTGGGGCCATCTCATCGGTAGCATGGTGAGACAACCTGGTATTAAACCATCTGTTATTAAGGGTATATTTTAAAATAGTGTTTTGTGTCTCCTGGGTTACTCACTCCCACTGATAGCAGCACAATATTAAGACTCCCATTTTTTCCCTAGCAGCGGTGTGCAGATAACAAGCTTTAAACATTGCATTGTTCCCTCACTGCTCGTGCTATTTAGAATTTTATTTACTAAAATGTCTCACATATAATGCACCCTTATTTCCTGCTTTTTTCTCATGGCAGTGAGCAAGCAGCATTTAAACTGTGTTACTGAGCATTGTTGTACTTTTTAGAGTCAAGGACCCTAAGTAAAATTGTCCAGAGCTTTTGTCCTTATGAAAAGTCAGCTCCCAATCTATATTAAGACAACAGTCTTGCTACAGGCAGAAGAGTAGAAAACGATTTACAATTAACAACAAAAAAAGTGCTTCTCCTTTCAAATCAGTTTGGATTGATTACTTTCCTTTATATTAATTGAGGAAATTAACTCCTCATCATCGCAAATCTACAACCAGGTCCTCATTGCCACCTGTTGCAGTTAGGAGTAAAATCCTGCTACACAAATTTTTAGAATTAAGTATTGAGCATGACAGAAAAGGACAATACTCCTTTGAAAGATGAGCAGTCAAGCCATTTAACAAAACTATCCAAGGTAACTCAATTCAGAAAACCACCTTGCTTTACAAAAATAAAATTTACAATTTTCTACCTTACTTCAAATCACTTTTGACAAGTATAAGAAACTAACTTTCATTTCAAAACTTTTACATATGCCTTAGAACTTGGTGGAGACAGGTTTTTGGTTTTTCAAATTTCCTTTCATAGTTGCCTTTTATAATTGACTGTTCCCAAGTAAAACTAAAATTTCCCTCTAAGTTTGCTAAGCACTTTCACATTCCCATATTTAATTACATTCAGACTGAGAGTTTTATATATGTATAGAGCACAGTCAATTTTTAACTCAATTGACCACAGTGCCCTTGACATAATGCCTTATTCATCATTTCCACCTTATATATAAACAGGCACATGCTAGTTGTCAAAATGCAAAAGTGAATTTCTATATGCTGTCTAGAACAAAGGAGCTCGCTCTGCTTCTTTCCTTGCTGTCTCAGAAGGTGTCCTTTATTACATGTACTGGATCCAAGTATTTTGCTCCTCGGGAATGAAAAATGATAGTTTCAGACTGCCTTTTTTAAAATGATAAATTCTGCTTCTATAGACTCTCACCCTGCCTGTGAATTTAAGAATCCCTCTTAGATTTACTCTTACTTCCTTGGGGATTCAGCGTTCCTCTCAAAGCACCCCCCAAACTCATCTGCACTGTTTCAGAGTGCAAGAAAGATGAGAAAGTTTGCTCATCATGATGGTTTGAAAACTCTTGCTCAGTAAAAACACTTTCTGGGATGTCTAAGGTGCTAGAAATATTGCCTCGGTAGATTTTTATGTGCAAAGCCCACAGAGAAAGTTGGCTGGAGGTACGGCGAAGCATTGTTTGTTCAGAAAGGAGCTGTGGGGTTAGAGGCTGAGCAACGCCTCTCCCTCTGCTTCCTGGGTGAGAGCAGCGAGGCGTGCCCCTTAGCAGAAGCAAGCAGAGAGAGAGAGCAGTAAGACTCACCGGCTTCCCCATTTTTCCCAGGATCAGGAGGTTTGTTCCTCAATTGAGAGCTGGAAGAAGCAAACCTGTGGGTCCTCCAAGCTGGCTGCTCGGGGCAAGTACCGGCTCTGCTCTTCGTCTCGGATCAGCTGAATGGCTGGGGCGTTCAGGAAGCTTGCTCTGTCCAGCTAGGAATCGCTCCCCCTCTCCAGGGTGTGTGCTTACATGCCTCTCAGTCAGAGCAAAAAAAAAAAAAAAAAATGCCAAACTCAGGTCAGCCTAACAGGTTTCCTTATATAGGTAAACATGAATTGCATTCCTAGTGAAAGAAGTTAACTAGGATCCCCCGGTAACCTGGTTAACTCTATACATGCCAGAAGGGTTCAGAGTCAGTTGGCCTGCAGAGGGTTTGGTTGCAGTACAAAGGGATTTGTGAGATTTAATTAAAATCATCTTTATCCTGGCAGTCTGCAAAAATTGGCCCTTTAAGTGTAACTAAGAGTTAACAACTAGTATTTTGTATCATGCACTGTGACCAACCTTATATTATCAGAAGGCATTGTAAGGAGAAAAATCAAAGTATAGGATATCGTAATTTGTCTTTCATGATTTTAAAAACAGGGAAGTTAATTTTGAGATTATTTTCAAAGGGGTAAAACTTATGACAGAAAGGGAATAAGAGGAGAACAAACTTCCATGAAAAAAACGGCAAACTGACTTTTTTGAGCATAGCAACCAACTTATTCAACTTTCCCAGGCCTTCAGTTGATAATACAATATAAACATAGAATGTTTATTTGCTTTGCAATGCAGTGATTGCTAATGTATTTTTGATGGGTGAAATATTAGTTTAATGATATCTATGGCAGTAATAATCTTCCCTAACCCAGATATTTTTGATTGATTCAAAAAAGAAATATAAGATATGTGAATTTCTATGATTATATGTAAAGATTCTTAAGCAATTTCACAGATTTAAGGAGATAAGAAATGCATCCTCAAGTGAACTCTATAGATGGAAGGCTTAACTCTAGTTTGAAATACAGTTTAAAATATGATACATGTAGATTTTCTAATACTTGACTCTTTCTCTATACTTTTATCTACATTATAGTAAAGTAGTAGTTCTTTTTCATTGTAATCCATTCCACTAAATATTTAATAAAAAGTAGATGTAATAAGATGTAAGATTTTCCTATGGTTTTTTTTTTAATAGAGATGAAGACTGTCTCTTAAGTATAAACAATCCTTAAAAGAATCACTTGCTATTATTGCGTCCATCAACTGACTGCTCCTTGAGTAGTGACAGTCTTATTAAAAATACCTTACTGCTATTTGGATTCCCTGATTCAGAAAGGAGAGACAATGGATGTTGACATGCCACTGAAGCCAGCACCAATGCAAACCTATCACAAAGAATTTCTCTAATTGCACACACAGTCAAGAAGAATAACTAAACTTTGAAAAGCATTTTACTTTGGGCAAAGGCAATCACTATTCTTATCTCCATAGGAATGCTGAAAAGTGTATTATTTCCTTTTCATAATAATAAAATGGGCTCAGAAAGATAAAGTGATTAGTCCTCCAATATCTCAGGATCAGTTTGTCATAGATCCCATTCCGCAGGTCTTCTAGAATTTAACTCCAATAGCATTTCTGAAATAAAACCAGTTTTAAAACACAGAAGAACATTAACATGGCACTTTGTCGTGTCCAAGTTTATATTTAATAATAATAATAATATATTCAGATAGTTTAAATATAATTACAAACTGACTAAAATACTTTCTATAAAGTCATAATTTATTGATAAGATGACTGCATTTGAATATCAAACAGAGCATAAAATAAGATCAGAATTGCATGTTTATTAAATATGAGTTTGGGTTGTAAAATACTATGAAAATATGACTTTGAAAGTTATGCGTACGTTATTTTCTGTTTATAGGATGCACAGCTTTGTTATATCAAGTTGGGACCCATCTTGAGTCCTCCATTGGAAGGCATATTAGTGTATTCTCTTTATAGGGTTTTCACTAATATTTAAAATTTGGTGTCATGCCAGGTATTTGCTTTTATTAATACAGTCTATGTATGATCCTGTACCCTTTATATCCTCATAATTCCCGCTGAAGCAAGTTCTGTTTATGTAGGAACTTTAGAATTTATTAACATGTTGTTGCAAGACAAAGAATGCATTTTTTTCCAGGGGAGAGTAAAGCTTTAAATGTCTTAAGCTGGCCTCCAAATTTATCCTTGATGCTCTTAATACAATTGTTGAGGCTTTAAACACAAATACTATAGACTATAATTATTGAATTAAAAGTTCAAGATTTGAAATTAGGATATTGAAGTAGCTTATTTCAAAGAGGGAACATAACTCTCTGTGAATTCCAGTTTGAATACCTCAAGAAATTGAGAAAAGCTGTGTCACTCAGGCAGCCTGAATTCAACCTAAGCATAAGAGGATCCCAATGCGAGAGTACTTACAGTCTGAGTAATTACACTGGACCAAAAAAATAAAACAAAACCTCACTTATGGAAAACTAAATAAAATACAGGACTTACTTGAAGTATAGAAAATACCGTTGTGGTCTAAAGAAAATATCGGGGGTACATTTTCAAAATTCACAATGATTTATATCTAATGAGTAGTTGAGCTACATTTCAAACCTTGGTCCATTGGACGCTGAAATGCTCTCTATTTCCACTGTACCCCAAGTATAGTGGCAGAAGATCCATCTAATCTAGTTTTACTTCTTGGATGTATGACTTTTGGAAAGTTGCTTAAAATTTATGACTTTCACCTACAAAGTGATAGCAAAAAACCAACAACAAAAGCAATTTAAAAAATAAAAAGCCTCTACATTTCACAGATTTCTGGAAATACCTTATGAGATTTCACGGCAATAAGTCCACACATACTACTGATGCTTCTTTTAATCCAGGTGTTCATCAAAGTTGTAGGTAAACAATCTATGCATATGCTGCTTATGGAACAAGTCGACTTGAAGGAAATACTATTTACATCTATACTGTGCCATATGAAACTGTACCACAAGAATGTCGAACTGAAAATCTACATCAATACAGGAATATTACTAGATGGATGCCATTCACGATGCCACTCTCGCCATGAATAGTTCAAGCATTTAAACCAACTAAAGGCTGATCTTATCATGATTAATTCTTGTAGACCAGAGCTGAGGAGAGTAAAATATAATTCATTAGTCAGATCATGAGTATGTCCTTTTTCTAACAGTTAAGGAGGGTCAGTTCAATAAAAAAGCAAGTTGATGGTGCTCAAAAAGTTATATACTCAGTTGATTCATAATAATTATTTACAAAAAGTAAATAATCTTATAGCCAGTTAATTAAAAATGTATTTTTAGTTCACTGTTCTGCAAAAAAACCATTTAATTGACATGTTCTATGTTTAAGGGGCTTATGGAGGACACATACAAAAAAGGATACACAGAGAGTAATAATGGTCTCTAGCTTTAATAAATCTGTCTAGAACAAACAATATCATAATTGTATCAAGCAGGATAGGTCAGATTATGCCTGAGTAACAATCGATCCCCAAATCTCAATGGTTTAGAGGAACAAAGGTATATTTCTCATTATGGTGCATGCTTCCACAAGTCAACAGGGAGGTCTAGCCATACCTACTCAGATATATGTTTATGTGTCACTGTTTCCAACATCTCCTTTTGTAGTTGCTGAGACAGAAAATAAATACTTGATCAATCATGCACTAGCTTTCCAAACTTTATTGGATTCGTCTAAAAAAATCATTGATTACATTTGAATTCATCATTCAGCTCTTATGCCGAGTGTAATGGAGTCTAGTCAGTCATTCTCTACTTTGAAATGCCAGTGTTTTTTTCAAAAATGATTTTGAGGATGCATACTTAATCCATTCCAGTCATTCACTGAGTGATGAAATACAAGATAAATTGAATTAATTTGAAGATGGTGACAAATTGGATAGTTAACATCTTGGATGATTATATTATTATTCAAACTGACCTTCAAGAGTAGGGAATGAAATGATATTAAGAGCTTTTATTCAGTAGTGATAAATAGCAGGTTAGGATTAAAAACATAGCATATATGTGATAGGAAAAATTATAATGAGCTAATACTACCCTGTGAACTGAATACATATTGGCAGTCTACCATTTTTATTTGTAAAGGTTCTTAGGATATACTATATAGTGGTAGGGGCTGGAGAGATAGCTCAGCAGTTAAGAGTTTACTGCTCTTGCAAAAGACCTGGGTTTGGTGTCCAGCACCGACATTGTAGCTCACAACCATCTATAACTTCAGTTCCAGGGAATCAATTGCCCTCTTCTGGCCTCCACAGGCATTAAGCATATACATGGTGTACATACATAAATGCAAACAAACATTTGAACACATAAAATCTTTATAAAATATATAGTGGTATTAACCATGTGAGCACTAGTATGAAGATAGGTTGTTTCCAAACACTGCTGATTAGATCCACAATTTAGTAAATTAGCATATTCAGAAGCAAAATCAGAGATTTCCAAAGACTATAGCTGTAGATCACAGGTCAGAAAAGGGTTTTCTATAGAGACAAAGAATAAATATTTTCAATTTTGCCAGCAAAACGTTCTCTCTTGTAACTGTTCAACTCAACTCTACCACTGAGGACCATACATAATGTATAAGTGAATGTGTGCTTATGTGCCAACAAGAGTTTATTAACCAAACTGGGCAACAGACTTTGACTATATACAGATTCCTGTTTTCTACATTATAAATCTTTTAGAATAATAAGGTATCCAAAATGATTACAAGTGCCACAAATACAGGAGGAATCCAATTTGGGCCATTTTCTTATGGGCCTTGTTCTTTGCACCTTCTACAAAGGTCCCAGTGAATAAGCCGGTTAATTAAAATAGATTAAATTAGTCAAAAGGCCACTACAGCATGAAAGTCCCACAATATTCCAAAATAAATTGTAATCTATCATTCTTGAATGTGTCATGAATATAAAATCCAAAATATAATTTAGCTTTCCAATCTGTCAAATAGTTAATTATATTTTCCTTGAAGAACAAAAATATTACTTACAAGGATATATGAAAAACACAGAAGAGTTTTATAAAAATGAGATTACAAAGAAAAAAAGCTTAGGAAACAGAAT